AGCAAGAATATATATATATGTCCATACCGCAGATGACTCCTTCAAGTAGTTACAAACTCCATACCAAAGTTAATATACCCTTCACGAAGTGCAGGGTATAAAAATGTAATCGAAAAACAGTGGAAGAATAAGATGGTGTAGATGAAAAAAAATGACAACCATTTCTTTTAAAATTTGTGAAAAACGAAAAACTTTTTATCATATCGTGATTAATAAGACGTGACATTGCTTGAAGCTCCAATGGTGTGAGGCAAAAGAAACTGCTAAATATATAAGAGAAATTATAAGAAGAACAAAATGAAAAAGAAGAGAAATTTTTAAATGAGTAAAAATAACAAAATCTTAATTCTATTTTGTTTCATTTTTTCCTTTTTGGATTTTTTTTTTTTTACGATTTGGTTATCCTAAAGTTTTTATCCTTTTAAAAAATCGTAAAAATATTCATATTATATGTGATACGATGACAATCGTTCAAATTTAATTTGAATTTAAAAAGTATTAAAGCAAATAATTTAATCTGTTTAAAAAATTTAATGGTTTCAAAGATCAGCAGGATATTGTATTTAACCCTCAACTGCTACAACATAAATTAGTTTAGCAATTATAATTTTAAATCGTTTCTATAGCAGCTTAATTTTTTAAATAAGAAGAATTCGTAATAATTTTTTTGAAGTTCAAGATAAAATCGTGAAAACTTAAGCGGTTAAGTTAGAAATATTGTATGAACTGAAGACAAAGTTGCTAATTTCGAAATCAATCTCATAAATTTAGTGTTATACTAGCGATATTACAACACCAGTTGTATAATAATACATTAATTAGTTTGCTTTTGCTTAAAAAATAATATTATTGAAAGAAGTTTTAAAAAAATTATTGAAGTTAAAGAAAGGAAATGATATTGAGCCTTTAAAAGGTTCAGCGCAGCTGATAAATTACAAAATTTTTGCGATTACTTACAATATTGTTATGGGTTTAACCATAATATTTTTGTTGTGATCTTTAGAAAGCCAATTTACAATTTCAAATTTGTTTAATTTTTTTTATAAGAATTAAATGAATGCCAATAACACAACCAAATAAAAATTAAATTTATTTCTAATAAAACAATTTTTTTTAGCAGAAAATAACCTCTGCCTTAATTCAATCCTTTCAAGTTCTAAATAATTTTTTTTTTCCCAGATTAAAGCATAACTTTGTATTGAAAACTTTTAATTTTTAAGATATACAATTATTATTAATGTTATGTATAGAAAACACACATGCAAATATAAGGTAAGCATACAAATAAAAAAAAAGTTTGAACAATGTATAAAAGGGATTGTATAACAAAAATAATAAAAAAAACAAAAAACAAATAAGGAAACCAAAAAAAAAATCAAATGATTCAGAACGGAAAAAGTTTACTACAAAAACAAATTTTTCAAAAATTTTAATGATATACACATGTTACACACAACTCATTAAATTTTTTGTATATGTGCATAATGTTATATAAGACTTATTAAAAAAGATTTATAAGTAAATAGCGTGTAAGTGCATGAAGTGTTTATATGAGTATACAGAGTAATAATTATGTACCTATAACTTTTAGTAAAACAGCGCACTGGATTCTATATAAACAAGATGAATGTAAAAGATATATGAAAAATTACCTTAGTTAATCACCTTTAATTTTGTGATTTTGAGATATTGTTGCAAGGTTCCTGTTCAATAAGGATTATCATGAGATCTTTTTTAATATTTGTATTGGAATATTTTAAAATCATGTATCTGAATTAGCTAATAATAATTTAATTAAAGAATTTCGAACTTCTTTTCTAGTTAGTTTAGTGATGCGATAAATGCTATCACAACAACAACGCCGTAGAAGAGTAAAATATTCTAAGTAAAACTCTATTATTGAGTCTGGAGCCATTAGACATTAATTTTTAGGTAACATTAAATTCCATTACTTAGATTTTTCTTAAATGACTAATTTTATTAATTAATTTAATTCACTGGTCAAATATGGCATAAAATTAATTGGAGGCAAGATATAAATTTATAGAATATGTTTTAGGTATGTTTTGTGGAATTTTTTTAATTTTGTTTATGATATACATATCTAGATGTTTTGCTTAAATTAAAAAAATATTTTCAGAAAACTTATCTGGTTTCGGCATTATTTTTGTTACCACGAACATCTTGAAAGTCATTATTTTGTATTTTTAATAATTTGAGCTGATAATTATTTGGTTTCGTGCATAGACACGGTTTTTCAATAAAGAACACGATTTTTCAAATTTAAAAACAAATTGAGAAGTTATTCTCAATTCGGAAGCTGTTTTATTCCATTTCACCATATGAGCATATCATTTAAATTCTCTCAATTTGAATTACAGCCAAGTTCGACTTCACATTGGAAATTTTCGTAAATATTATGAGTAAAACCTTATACAACCTGTTCTATCTAAAATAATTTTAATGTTCGGAAGTTTCCAAATAATTTTTCAAGTTTAACCTTAAGTTTAATATTATACGTTGTTTGCTTATATTGTTTATAGGTTGAAAAAAAAATTTTCTTTTCTATGCTTTTTTTAATTCATCGGATGTTTGACATGAAAAATATTTGAACAAATTTGAAAAACAAAATCATGAAAATGAAAGAAATTCAAGGATTAATTTTTTTTTGTTTTGTTTGTTTTTATTTATTTTTTTGGAACAAAACAAATACATACATACACGCGAATAAAAATTGTAAATGTTTTTATCATCAAATTAAAATTTTTGAAAGAATTTTTTTTGTTGTTATAGACTTTCAATGTGAACAAAATTTTTTACGTGAATTAAAGCCTAAAAACATATTAATTTAAGTAGGCTTTTGTTTTTTTTAATAATAATCAAATAAATAAAAATAAAATGTTGAGATTGAAACAAGAATAAAATTTTTAAAATTGATATTTTTAAAAATCAAGTGTACAACCGAAGAAGTTTGAAATTTTCTGCAGGAATCCAAGGCTTACCTAATAATTTTCGAACAATCCAAGGTGTACCACACAATTTTCTTCTGAAATTTTTGATGAACATGAAAAATATGTACATCATGTTCCATGGAAAATGTATCATGTTCCAAAAACTTCAAGCAATTTTAATTTGAAAAATCAAACGGAAAAAATTAGTTTCATTTACGAAAACTATTATAGTTTCCAACACGAAAACCACAACATTTTCCTTGGAACATGTGAATTTTCGTTGGATCTAATTGAAATTCCTATCAATGCGGTCAGCTGGCTTTGTACACAGAAAAATTAATGCAAAAGAAAGGTAAATGTTAGAATAATATACCTGTAAAGTTCCACAAGTTTAATGGGATTTTGTGCAAAAGCTAAAAAAATTATTCTTTTAGCACGCTTCGAAATTTTAGTATACTTTACTTTTAGTACAAATTTCAATTTCAACTACCGTCTAAGATAATCATTGAAATTTAATATTGGAATTGATATAAAATCCGCTAAATGGTTAGATGTCTTATTCACAAGTAAAACACACATATATTAAGTCTATTTTAAAAAATATTTATGTTCAAAAGCACTTTCATTTTTGAGGATTGAATTATATAGGGAGTATATATATAGGGGAATATTATAGGGAGTAGTGTGGCGTCTCGTCAATTTCGCATAATTTCAGATTATTCCAGATTATTTAAGTCTCATTAATTGGTATCAACTAATTTCGTTTTCCATTATCGTTAAATTCTGTTAAAATTACAAATTGGTTATTAAGTCAGTCCGTTATCAGATTGTGAACTAATGGTCCAATTAAAAACTACGATCAACATTATATTATGTATTAGGAGTCAAATTATATTATTAAGTATGCAGTTATTTTATATGAGTATTGTTAGCTATAAATAAATTTAATATAAAAAAACATGTTGAGTAGAGATTCAGAGATAAAGCCAACCAGACTCTAACAAAGTTCATAACATTTGTTTATTCTTGTCATAACATTAATCACATATTCATAAATGAGGATATTATTTAAAAAGGTTCTATTATGAAAATTTAAAAAATAAATTATAAATATTAAAATTCTAATTTCTGGAGTAGATTTTTTAAAAACTTTAATTTCTCAAGTTGCTGTTGTAGAATGATATTGTTTTAAGGTTATAAAAAAATTGTCATCAGATTTTTATTTTAAAATTCTTAGCAATTTACTAGGCTATCGTTTTAATGTACAATCTTAATTAGGAACTTCAGTAGAACATTTAAACGTTATATAAGCAAGCAAAGAAGACTATAGTTTATAAGCAATTTATTATTTTTTCCTAATACTCGTATTATCAATTAAATTATATTATTATGAATTTAACTCTGAATTTCAAACTATGGTAACTCAAAAAGTGCAGTTTTTCAATTTTAACGAAAAAAATAATGTGTTTTTAAAATCATTTATATGTGAAAAACAAGAACCAAACAAAAACCAAACAAATAAGATTCATGAAATAATTTTCCTATTTTCAAGGATCACAATGTATGTATAACATTGTTATCTATACAACAACATTGTCTTTTGAAAATTTTTGCCTTTAATCCGAAAATCTGAGAGTAAATTTCAATATTGCTATTATTCAGTATCGTCAATATTCTTAAAAACTATATAACATAAAAGATCACGATTTAATTTTCTGAATTCCGAAAACTAACTATTATTTACCAGTTAAGTATTAAACTCACGTTCGTATAACTATAGTGGAGTTGGCTCATAGAAATAATTGTAAATTATAATGGTAATTTCAAAATTTATTTGAAAACTAATGAAAGTCTCTGTAAAAGATTTTCCAAATTCGTATCATGCTTCTCACAAATAATATTTTAGACTTATAAGAATTTAAATGCTACAGTGCCATATAACTTTAATTTTATTAATTAACAACATATCTACGTGTATACACATACATATACATAAAATTTCCTTTATATACTCATATTAATCTTTCTTTATTTATGTGTTCTTTTCAGTTTAACTATCAGCTATAATGCAACCAGATCAATTCTAAGCATTCACGTACTTTGAAACACACAAAAAAAAAAAAACCAAGAAGAAACAAAAGAGAAGAAAAACAAAATGTTTAAAAAGTAAGTTTTTGAATTTACACATACACACAAACACAAATGAAAAATATGAATTGAAACCAAAATTTTGAGGTTCTCTTTATTTTTAGGAATGAATGCACAAATAAATTTCTATATTTTTGCATACTCGTATATATCTATTTGTATATACCATAGGCTATAATATATACATACACTTGCTGTTATTATACTGACATAATATTAATGTAATTAAAAATTAAAATTTAAAATTCTAAAAACAAGAAAGTAAAAACAAAAAAAATTTTTATTTTAAACAAAGGATATTATTTTATACATACATACTGGTATATACCTTTGAATGTAAGCATTAACTCTTTGCAAAAAATCCAAATATAATATATGAATAGATTTGTATGTATGCACATTCACATATTTTAATAATAATTATTATATGTACTTACTTACAAATACGTACTAATCATATAATATTTTTAGTGATTATTTATACAGACCCACTTTTAATTCTACAGTAAAGTCAATGATCTCAAACTGAAAATGGAAAAAAAAAAATTATATAAAAAAAGTTTCTATCAAAATATTGTGGTCTTTTTTTTGGTTTTTTGTACAGCTTAACCAAAGTTGTGTAGGGTCATTACTCTATTATAAAAGCAATAATTTTAATTATATAATTTTAAAAAGGATTTTTTAAAAGATACATAAAAATATATTTTATATATTTAAATTTCATTTATGAAAAAGAGAAAAGTATATTAAGTAAATGAAGGATTAGAAATCCTTTTATATAATATCGTATATTGTGTTTGTATATTTGTACTGAATTTGTTCATTTATTTGGTCGAATTACATATTAGATAGACGTATACAAAATAAGTATGAAAAATCCAATTAGCAACTAATTAGTGAATATAATAGAAAAGTATATCATCTGTTCTATAAATTAAATGGAATTAAATTTTATTAACTAACTAACGCTTTAAAATATACGCTTTTGTGTGTAAATTTTATATAAGTATATATATGATATGTGGAACACCATATATGATGAATTGTTTTGCTTTTAAAATTGAGTTTTCACTTTTTGAAAACTTTTTGAAATCTGAATACAATCGGGCTTCTTTTATTTAATTCTACACTTTATTTATTAAAAAGCTAGTTTGTATTTTAGTATGAGAAATGTATGAGAATTTTTGAACAAAATCTAGCTATTCAATATTCACGATGAAAATATTGACCACACAATGTTTATGGGATAAGATAAACGTAATGCGAATGTAAATTTTCTTTAGTAATGAAAATCTCATTCAAAAATAATTTTATAATATTAATTTTATTAATTGAAGTGAATTTTATATATAGAAAATTGAATTCTAATACTTGTGTATGTGAAGATTTTCGCAGTAATTACTGAAATTCTGTTCATTATCAAAAATTTAATATGCTGTTTTCAATTTATCTTGCAAAAAACAAAAAGGATGTTCTGGGGTACAATATACAAGATGTTCTCCCATAGTATTGTATTCGTATGTTATACAAGCGTTTAGATTTTCGTTAATAAGGTAAACAATTATACCACAAGGTAGAGATTGTTAAAATAGACTCCTGAATTTCTCTGATCCACTTCATTCTTTAAAAGATATGAATTGGTAAAAAATAAAGAAAATAATTAAGATACCCAAAAAATATTAAAACAAAAGTAAAAAGAGCAAGTTAAGCTTTCTGAATAATGAAAAAATTTTGATAGTTGCAGTTTGACTTCACCGCAAAAATAATACAGTTGTTAAAAAAAGAAATTTGAATTTTTTAAACGATCGTACAATCTGAACCAAAAGTCTTATTCAATAAATGGTATGCTTCTTAAATAGACTATTGCAACAACTTTCTAGAGCATGTCCCAAAGTATTGCTATACCTTGCCCAGTCTATATTATAACCCACTTTCAGTAAAGTTCGCAAAAAAAAAATTTGCCTTTAAAACCCCCTACCTCCTGATCCGGTTGAAACAGATGTATACCCGCTGCTATACTTAAATGCAAAAATATAGAGAATACCATTATATGTAGCACAGCAATAACAAAGCAATATAGCATAATAATTTATCAATCCATCATATTATACAAAATGGCGTTCGCGTGAATTCTGAATTAACTTGAATTTTCAGCTTAAATCTGAATTTGAGATTTTTTTTAAGCTCAAGAGCATGTAACTAAGAATATTTTTTTTTTTTCTGCGAAAATTTGCTTATTAATAATAAAACTGTGCTTAAGGAAAAATCTGTGTTAAGTGTAATTTAGTGAAATATTTTGAAATGATATAACAGTTTTTATGTACATATAAATTTAGGTGTATAACTCTAATTCTAGGTTATTTATAATTACCTACTTGAAGTACTTATAAATATATAAGTAAAAATTTCATCTGTAATAAGTGAAATATATTGAAATTAGTACTTTATATTTATGAATTGAAAAGGAGCAATAAATTTCAAATTTGAAAGTAAATCGGTCATACAAATTAATTAGCAAATTTGAAAAATTTTAAATACATACCCTGTACGCGATTTGTAATTAATTTTGCTTAATACATACATAATGTTGATCCACATACTGTACATATAAAAATAATATATTAATTTTTTAATTTTCCAAAAGATTTTTAAGACCACAACATATTCAAATTTATTAAGCTATTATTAAGTTGTTAATAAAAAATTTTACAATCAATAATAATACATTATGATAATTTTGCATATATTTAGGCGATCGAATAGGAGCGAAAATTAATTCTTATTGTTTATTTGGCAACTATTTGCCAAATTAATTTAATTTCTATACGAACTTTAAAGAAATACGCTAATTTTGATCAAGTTTAAATAAATTTTACAAGAAAATATGGGATACAGAAAAATATAGTATTCCATACATTTAAGGACAAACATTTCTTCATTTCATGTTTTTGCAAATTAAATAATACAAACCTTAAATATGAAATTTTTATTAAATACTCAGATTTCTACTTTTAAAATTATATCATTGAGTGTTCTTAATCATTTTGAAGCACGTTCTTTAACTCGAGAACATATTTGAATTTATTCATAAGAGTATGTTCTATAATATTTGAAATTTCTATTGCGAAAAAACTACTTTAGAAGCAATTGCAAGTATCACAATATAAAATCTTTAAACAATGCGTACATAAATCGTTCAAATTAAATTATTTCATTATTGCCATATATATACTATTTTATATTGTAATTTCTTCACGCACTTATCGATTAAATTGCATAATAAATACAATGACCGTATATGATAAACGCATGAACAATAGCTCTGATAAATTTTGTATCTACACGTTGTCATTTTATACTCTTTATACAATCAAGTGAATAATAATTGAATAACAAATTGACACACGACATTATCATATTGTGAAAAGAAAATTTCAAAATCAGACAAGGAAGTCTCGTTAGTACAGAAATTTACTAAAGAGTTTAAATTTCTTTTTTTTTGTGTTCGTAATGATTTTATTACAGACACTTTTAAGTACACTTAAGAATTAAATTTTAACAATATGTGTATAAAGCATTGTAATCTAAACAAATTGACGGAAGTTAGAAAACATAGAATGTGGGTATTGTTGACAAGTCAATTGACATTATATACAATACGAGTAATTATTAAAATAATCTTAAATTTCTGATCACTTTTATGTTAAATAAGGTCTACATTATAAATTTAGTATAATAAGAAGATGCAAACTGTTAGATGTTGATTAAAATAATTTTGTTATATTATTTTGTGCTCTTCTAAAGAAACAATAGAATTTTAATCTGCAACATGTACACTTCATGGTATTATAACCTTATACAATTAAAATATTTTATATAACAATAAGGGTCATATCATTTAAGTTAAATTATGCATTTGCGTATAATTTTCTTATATCTGAAGATAATTCTTATATATAGGACTTTCATTAAAATAATTTTTAATTTAACATAAAAGTAGAGTAAATAAACAGAGTAGACAGTTCAAAATAGACTATAGAGAAGTTATAGTGCAATGACATCTTTTGTCATTTATTCAAAAGACGCATTTTATATAATATACTATAACATACTTTCTTATTTATAACACACAAAGGTAAAACAAGATGTTGCCATGTTGCATTTAATTTCATAAAACCATTCTTACCAAGCAGTTTAAGTTTTAACAAAAACTTTATGTTTGCAACATGATGCGATATTGTTTTAAATAGGAATAAAACTCAGAGTATTCTCAGTTTTTACTCGGAGAAAATAATGTTGTTCCAGAAATATATCAAATACTTTCATTCCTCATTAAATTTCGCCTAGACGCATTTTGACTTTCGGGCTCTAGCTTGTTTCTCCTGGATTTCTTATATTAAAAGCAAACATAATTTTTATAATATTAGAGTTCTATTATAATAGAGTTCCTTAAATAAAATAAATTAATATTGTAAAGCAGACTCTATGATTTCTTTTACAGGAATTTCCAATTTTGTTATCTCCAAATAAGATGTCATTGCAATACTTAGTATATTATTTCTTATTTAGGATACATTTTACATGAAAACCAGTGATTTTGTATAGTTTTTCAAAAATGGATTATTTCTAATGGTTATCAATGTGCCAATGAATGTAATTCATAATGTTTACGAACAAATTGTCAAATTGTTAATTGCAAATGCTGTCCTAATTCATTATCTACATGAAATTCATTACCTCCACCTATTAAATCTTTCGTACTTTCTAAACTTTCAACTAAAAATTAATTAACATTTTTTTTTTTTTGATAAATTATAGTAGTAAATGGTTACATGTTCTGAAAGTGAATCGCGTTCTTCAATTACAACATCCTGTAAAATATTTGTAGTAAACTGACCAAAATGGTTAATACAAGAAAAAATTATGACCCGGAAACAGTTTATTGATATTTTCAACTCATTTTGACTAAAATAATTTTTTTTTAATGCGACATTGTTCTCCTAACTGTGCATGTAGAC